GGAGAGGGGAGGGGGTGGGGCGGGGGGAGGCCGGGGAGCGGAAACAGGGCGCTTGCTTTGTGCGAAGCGAGCCCGGGAAGGCAGGCAGGCAAGGGAAACGCCTCGGGGCTAGCTCTCTCCAGACGGGCGGCTGCCGGCGGGGACACGGGGGAGATGTCCTTAACCGCCGCTGCCCCAGCCTCTTCCCGGTGCGCAGCCAAGGACCGGGCAGACAGCTCGAGAGAGGGATTGTAACTTGGAAGGGTTTCGAGAAGTGAGGTCAGCCCGCGAGGTCCACGCCCGCCTGCGGCCCAGACACCGTCCCCTTTTTCCCTCGCGCCCTGCGATCCTTTCAGCGCCTCTCCGACGTAAGGAGGATCCAGCGCTCCAGAAGGAAAGCCAGAGCGCTTCCTCCTGACGGCCGCCCCGCGGCATCAAGCGCTCGCACGTCACACGGGTTTCTCCCTCTCCCCCTCTTTCTGCCACCGCCTCCCTCGGCTGCCCGGGTTTATTTCATTTGTAAGTCCTCGTAGCCTCCCTCCCACTTTCAAAAAAAGAGAAGAAGATGGCAGCAGCAGAACCGGAAGCAGCTTTTAAGAAAGGGGGGAACCCCTCCCCCTCCTTCCTTCCTCCGTTATCCTTCTCCTCCTCCTCCTCTTCCACCCCGGCAGGAGATGGGCATCGCGCCTGCCGGGAGAGTTGAGTTGGAGTGAATGTGTGACGTAGCTGTGATCCAAGCCGAGACGTCCGCAAGCAGCGAGCCGACGCCGGGCGGTTGGTCTGTGGGCAGGCAGCTGCCGGAGAGCAGCGAAGGGCGCTCGAGACCGGTCTTTAAGGATGCGGTCGGGACGCGCGTGGAAGTTGCACTTGGACGACCCCATTCCCCTTGGGGCTGGCGGGCGGGCGGGCGGCCTTCTTTCTTGAACCCCCAGACCCCGTGAAATCCTAAAGACCACGGGTCTCCCGGCTAAAGAAATACGCCTAGGAAGTTGTGCCATGTTGCAGGCCACCTGGGCTTTACTTCCAAGTAAACCTGTCTGGCGTTGGAGCAGTAGGGTCTGCTTGCATCCAGGTCAGGTTGCAGCCATGTGGTGCCGTGGGCTTCGTTTCTCACTCCCTGTAGTGAATCAAGAGGATGGCCTTGAAGGACAGAGGGAAGATCTGCGACCAAGGCTACAGTCAGATAAAGGAGAGTTGAGCCCAGGCCAAGGAAGTGGTTTACAAAAATGCCTCAGACAGCCTCCCACCTCTTAATTCTCATGAAGATAAAAGTGGGAGGAAGGGAAGCACATTCAGACTTGCAACATTATGTAACTATAGCTGTTCTAAATAAAATAGCTTTAGGTCTGCACTGTGTCTGGTTTTATTAGTCTGGTCTACCTTATAGGCTGACTTCCCAGTCCCTCGAAAGCAGACTGAAGATAGCCTCCTACAGCTATTTTCATGATGATGGGACTTCTTGTGCTGATCATGATGCTGATCATGGTGCTGACAACATCTCCACTGCTCCTCCAGATGACAAATAGGAAAGCACAAAGAACAGTATTCAGTCGCTCGCATTTTTAGTGCCATCTTGTCCATTTTACTGGTGATTCCCCCCCCCCCCCATATGAGCAGGTGCAGAAAGGGAGATACAAAGCCACCAAGATACTATCTCTTGGCTGCATTTAAAGATCTGCAAAACACTCTGGCTGAACTGCTATGGGAAGTGGGGAGAGGCTGCCTTGATCCGAGGATGAAACAGACAAGTCTCAAGTCCACATCATTAGGGAAATGGCCTGTCACAAGCCCCCCAGAGGTGCAGTATTTCTAATGGGAAATCACCTGTGCATTCTGGATGCACTGCAGCTGAACCAGAAAGAAGTGGGCTGAGCTGCGGGACAGAGGCAATGTCACTAGATTGCCCAGAGCTGAGGATTATGTATGGATTGTGTGCAGAAATGTCCTACATCCCATGCAATTAAATGCAACTTTACAAGGAGGGGAACCTGAGGTTGCCCAGATGATAAATGATGATTCCCAGTATTTCCTCACCACTAACTCAGTTGACTGGGGCCTCTGGGAGTGTGGTTCAGCAACATCTAGAAGACAACAGGTTTAGTGGTCTAATTATAATTTGTCAATAGATTCTACAACTCCTGCCTGATGATTTGTTCCAATATTACTTAATCTTCCACTCCTTTCAAAAGAATTGTTAAGGGGACAATTACTGAAAAGTAAAGAAGCTACCCTTTTCCTGTAATTCAGGGACTTCCAGATTCTTCCTACCAGGTTAAACAGCATAGGAGGAGCCATAGGTAATGAATAAAGTATTTGCTTTGCATGCAGAAAGTCTCATTTTCACCTTCTAGTCTTGCAAGGCTATTTCCATAAAATATTTACAAGAAAACTTTAATAGGAATTTAGCTTCAATTTAAAATAGAGGTTATGCCCCAATACAGGTAGTCCTCGTTTAGTGACTGCCTTGTTTACCAACTGTTCGCAGTTATGATGGTAATGAAAAAGTAACTTTGCAACCAGTCCTCACATTTATGACCTTCACAGGTCTGCAAAGGAAAGGTGAAGTAAGATCATGAAGTTTTGCTTAGCAACCACTTCGCTTAATGACTGAGTTGCTGGTTCCAATTGTGGTTGCTAAACAAACAAAAAAACAGTGGCGGAGCGGCTTAATGACGCTGAAAGTTGCTGGCCAGAAATGGTCGACACTTCAGCGGTTTGAGCCCAGCTCTGCACAGCAGAGCAAGCTCCTGTTTCCTCCCCAGCTCTTGTCAACCCAGCAGCTCGAAAACGTGTGTGAGTAGATAAATGGGTACTCTCACCCTGGTGGGAGGAAAAATGCTGGCGGCGCTTGCACGGGAGACGGGAGCAGTTGCCGGTAACGCGGAAGCCGTGCACGCCTGAAAAAGGCAGGAAGCAATGGAAACCCTGCATCCTGCGCTCGCCAGCTAGGCCCTGCTCTAGGAAGGAGGCAATGCCTTGAAAACTGCAGGGACTCGTCCAGGCAGTCGCCGCAGAATCAGTAATGATTGAGTGTGGATTAAAAAAAAAAAAGGACTACAGTACTTGTATTGTGCTGAAATCTACCTAGCTATGTCTGAGAATGTTCTTCTTTTGCAAAAAGGGCTTCTGTTTTTCCATCTTTGGGGAAGTTGTTTGATAACATATGTCAAAATTCTCTGGGTTATAATTCTGAACTGACTTGAAAGTTGGAGGTACAGAATCTGCAGCTGTTGGTGGTGTTTTTGGCTGCACATTTTTCTATAATGCTCCTGGCTACAGTTCCCAGTCTGAATAGGCCCAGTGGGAATTCTCTCAAGGAATTGGACTTCCCTTTGGATTGCAACAAGCCTGGGAAACCAGGAAGGCCACAGAATACTAGATATGTTATTAGACAATGGAAGACAAGATACTCATTTTCCCACGTACCCCATGCCAACCTTATGATTAAATAAATGCAAGACCACCAGATACCATCTATGAAAACTTTGATGAAATTATCTTCTAAAAACCTAACTATAGTTAGCAGCCAATCCCACTGAGTTCAGTGGAAGGCTTTTTGGACAACTGATCTAATATATTAGTTCAGAGACTGAATTACAAACAGCATATTATCAATATGAATAACAAACTTGCTATGGCTATGAATTTAGGCAATTCATTTTTTCTTATCCTTGGCTTCCCATCTGTGATCTAGGAATAATAATTCCCCTATTATAACCTTGTGGGGTTATTACGAGGTCTGCAATAACAGCATTCTATTATTCATGATTACATAAATGCTAACCATTATTCATAGACAAACAAAAGATACTGTATTGCTTTGCTAGGTTTAGTAGGGTGAAGGTAATTGCTCTTAGAATAGCATCTGTCCTTATAGGTTCCATCTACGCATGTGAGTTGATATTCAAATTAATCTGGACTAGATCAGATGGTATCAGCACAATCTTATGTATATCAATGAATTTATTGAGATTACTCTCAGAAAGGGTGGGCAAAATTGCAGCTGCATGTACTCCTATTCTGTGTATTAATCCAGACTCTGACATTCCATTTATTTCAACAGGAGTTTTGAATTGTGGTTAACATTGTGAGTGGCAAAGAATGAAAAATAGGAAGCCATTTTGTATCAGTGAGAACCATACAGGATTATTTTATTGCTTTATTTTAGACTTCAAATACCTTATAACTCACACTAAACCTTCAGGCTAAAATAGAATTAAAACATAAATAAAGCAACTGTTCCTGAGTTTGCAAAAACTGAAGCCATCACAACAACCAAGTATCAAATATTATAAAATGCATGTTTCCCCTCCCTTCCCCACATTTTTAGTATTATTTATTAAGCCACAGCTGCATCAGTTCCAGATGGATTATTTTATTGCTTTATTTTATACTTCAAATACCTTATAACTCACACTAAACCTTCAGGCTAAAATAGAATTAAAACATAAATAAAGCAACTGTTCCTGAGTTTGCAAAAACTGAAGCCATCACAACAACCAAGTATCAAATATTATAAAATGCATGTTTCCCCTCCCTTCCCCACATTTTTAGTATTATTTATTAAGCCACAGCTGCATCAGTTCCAGATGTCTCTGTACCTCTCTATGACTACTGCTTTTGAACTACTACAAGAATTCACATTTCCATATTTATAATGACAGAGTTTAAGAGTCCGTACCTGAAACAGTTATAATTCTTAGAAATGCTGTATGAAATAGCTATCAAAGTTGGAAATGTGCTATATGTCTTTATCAGTTGTTTTACAGATTTAAATTCTGTGAATGGATTTCTGATTCAGAATGTTATCAGCATGCAGTATAGTTTCTTGAAATGGGATGATTATTTTCAAAACTGCCTTAACAAAAATTCCTTCCTTTCTCATTTTAAGGCTGAAATTCCCATCCA